GTCCGGCCTAAATCTCCTGGAGGGGAGGCGGCTTTTTTTCCCCGAATCTCCCGAAACATTTCTTTTTGGAGTTGTTTAGTGTTTCGGAGACGACATACCCCTCTGTTACTGCAGACCGTTTTTCTGGGAGGAGGTTTTTTGAGGAAAAATCCCAGTTAGAGCCTTTCTGTCTATAAAATACTGAGAATAGGACTCGATTTTGTTTACAGCTGCGTTTAACAATTATTATTTATGGTGTTTATGCCCATTTTTATCAGACTAAAAAGTTTTCAGTAATTCTCTTGATTAAAGAGCCTGCCTTGTTAGTTGTTGGTGATGCGCTCACTTCATCCCGATCAATCACTTCCTTCATTCTTCTGGCCTTGCTTCGGAATAGAGTTCATACTCAGGGACATCGCTCATAAAGGTCTAGTCCGTTGTGTCACCTGCTAATGGGATGTTTCCTGGAGCGTCAGTATTGCGGTTGCCTAAATTGACCCGAGGGCATCCACAGTCTGCAATAGGTGCTTGTGCTGAAGAGGATTCTCAGCTGCACTTCTGCAAACCTGTGGCCTCGTGATTTGTTTGTCCAGAAAAGCACAAATGAGGAATCAAGAATTTGGACTTTGCACAGGGCTTGTGGTCAAACTCGAATTGTATGTGTTTGCTGCTTTGTTCAGGGGGGCGGGGGGGAATATTCAACTAGAATTCCCCAAAGTTTAGAAACAGTATGAACACAACTTCTTTGTTTTGCACTAGTGTTAGCTGTGGGCAACTTTCCTGCTAGAATTAATCTTTGGATTACTTTGGAATAGTGTTTGTGCTGCTGAATGAGAAAATAATACAATTGTATACATTAAAATTTCTGCATCTTGCACTATTAGTATTAGCTAAAAGATTATTCCTGCAGTATAAAAATATTCTTTTTGTGTTTCTTTCCTTTGGTTATTCAGATTCTAAATTATCAGGAACATCCCAGGAATGTGAAAATAGTATCTCTTCTCAATGAAGGTGTCATTCACAACTAGAAATGGTTCTGCTTGCTCATTTCCCTGCCATAAACCTTTGCATTTTCACTACATCACCCATCTGGTGCAGTGCTTGTTCCATCAAGAAGAGCTATAAATGTCAACCTGACAAAAGGCCAATACAGAAAATTCCTGGATGTTGTTTGTAGTAGGTGTCAGGAACCTGGCATTGCATAGTGATGAGGATTTTATAGCTGGTTAATGCTATGGCTGACTAGCAACTCTTGATTGAAATGCCCTGGAGGAAGAGGAGCAAAGTGAAAAAGCTGTACACCTTTAGAAATAACCCACATGGTTGAAGGAACTCTGTTCTGTAAAGTGTCTGTTAAATATGTTTGATGTTTCAGTTTGTCATGGTTTACTAGCTTCTCTTTTCCTGTCAATTCCTGTTAGGAGCTTGTACGTCAAGGAGAGGCACTGAAGCGCACAGAACAGATGGTGGATAAAATGGACCAGGACTTAAAGACTAGTCAAAGGCACATAAACAGCATCAAGAGTGTTTGGGGGGGCTTGGTAAGCTACTTCAAAGCCAAACCTCCAGAGAGCAAGCCAGAGCAGAATGGAACTCCTGAGTATTATGCCAACAGTAGGTAAGTAAAATAAACATTTTACTTGGGGTTTCTCTCCCACAGTTATTTCCAAAATGTCACCAGAAATCAGAACTTAAAAGGTCTGTTGATTCTGTCATGTAAACTCCTGAGATGGTGTCTAGCTCCCTTTTTTCTTTAACTCTGAGAAAAGTGTTTTTGCTTTTATTTGTATTTGTAGAGGTGAGAATAACTTCATATTTGTGGGAAATTAATTCAAACCCTTGCACAAAATTACATAAGTAAGTCTTTAGAGTCTTCTGAATTACCACGTTTACTTCAGTCTCATCAGGAAATTGTGATGTGTAGCATTGATGTGCTTCCCTTAAATATTATGTGTATTTCTCCAGCTTTTTTTTTAAGTGCTGTAAATAAAACTTAATTGCTGTGAAAGTACTGTGTCTTACAGTACTTGTCTCTCTTCACCTGAGAAATTTATGTAAAGCCTGGTAATGCTGCATGGATTGAGTTCTCCCTTCCCTTCCCTCTCTGTCCTCCGCTAGAGGAAAGGAGTAGGTTGCCTCCGGGATGGAAGGTATGGTTTCAGTTTTGATATCAAAGTTTCCATATGCTATTTTCAGCACTAAAGTGACCAGTTCTGCTTTCACTGAAGACAAATGCTAATAGTTCATTTTAAAGGCACATGTTGGATCAGGGCTAACGGATTTGCTGCTTTTGTATAAATTTGATACCTGTCCGTATTTAACGGATCCAGAATGAAGCCTGTGGTCCATACGAATGTTTTCTTTTTATTCTCTTTACTACCAGATTAAAAGAAGCAATGATGTCCAGTAAAGAACAAGAGTCAAAATACCAGGAAAGTCATCCAAATTTAAGGAAGCTAGATAATTCAGGTTTGTTAACTTGATTTTACACAGCATGTCCATTGTCAACGTGGGGCAAACTTGCGCAGTGGTGAAGGCAGAGACCCTTCAGCCTGCCTGACTGCTGACTTGCATGGCTGCCTAATGTCTGGACGTTTGTATCCCAGCCTTCATGGCTTTGAATTCTAAGGAATTATTTCCCCTAAAACTCTTTATACCCATCCTGAAGACCTGAAAATTTTTTACTTGGATACAGATTTTATTTAGTCCTTCCTATGGGGGATTTATGCAATATCCACTAAAGACTTTAAAAGCATCTAGTGCTTATATTTGCACAGAGGAGACTGTAGCCAAGAATCCACATAATGTGCAGGCAGCGTTGTCCTATGTTTGCCAAAAATGTTAATTTGTGTGTTCAGAGGTTCTCCTTTTTAATCATTGTTTGTCATAGTTTTCAGATATGTTTTCCATGTTATTTTGAACATGGACTGTAACTCTTCATACTGAAATCGTTACTTGATTCACACAAGAAAGTGTTCAGGGTTTGGTCTTGTTCCCTGTTCTCACAATGCCTTGACTTCTGTGATGACTTTTATGTACAAAGTAACTGTTCCTTTTTAAAGTGGGATTCCATTATTTAGTTAGTGAGAAGGCAGCAAGGTGTGTTTATAGTTGCAGTTCTGTAAGTAAAGAAATGCTTTTTGGTAACATTAATCTCCATTCGACTCCACGTAATGTTAAAGGTCTGTCCAATAGAGAGCAGAAGACTCTCTGGTGGCTTGACCGGGGGGACCGCTAACCACTGGTAGAAGTTACCAACCTACCTGCTTTTGTTGAAGTGTGGGTGTTTTTATTTTAAATAGCCCTTCTAAAACTCTAAACTTCTTGCTAGCTTTTTTTATTATATAATATTCTATATTTTATACTCCTAACAGACAGTGATTTCAGCAAAGAAGATCTAGTTTCTTCAGTGCAAAGGGATTCCTATCCGAAGAACCAACACCTACGAGCTTACCACCAGAAAATTGATAACAATTTAGGTGAGTGAGAAAATTGAAGCTGTTTGATGGAATATGATTTTCAATTTTTGGTTCTTAAGCCAGTGAAAATTACTAAGTAATATATTGTCAACAAACACTTGTTCATTTAGTTCACATGTGAAATTTGATAATTAAAAAAATCATTTGCTTGTATTCTGCATTTCAAAACTATATACATGGAGGAACTCTTCTACACCATGCTTGTGCTTTAGAAATAAATAGTTAGATTTTAGTCCCTGAGCAAAGAGACTAAAAAAAAAAATCTTAAGCAGGGATTAGTAATATTAATAAGGAAATACTGCTTCAAATTGACATCCAGATTATACCAGTGTGGATACTTACTACCTCTTTTTCTTAAGCTTAACTTACATGGAAAGATGCATTCAACTCACCTGACAGTTAAACTCAGATATTAAATTGTACAGCAGTTTGAACCCAAAGAATTTACAACTGTGCACAGCTTTTGAAATAAACATGTTTTGCAGAAAATAGAAGAATTGAAAGTCATTAAATATTTAATTTGTGAATTTGCTGCATTTCTTTTATTACTTTAAAAACCATTCAGCTGACTTTCTCTTCCTTTGTTCTGTAGCATATACACAAAGTGTCTCTTTGTTTACATGTGTCACTGTTTAGCTGACCTAGAAAGACGAGATTGGAAAGAAAGCAGAAAAGAGTAGATCAAAGAGAAATAGTCAAGCATAAGAGTTAATGGAAGCGTATTTGTTCTACTCCCAAGCTGTGCAAAACTTACTAGCCTCAGAAGTGCTTATACCAATCAGTCATGCAATAAAATAGTCTCCTGTAGCCAAATTAGACAATCTGGAAATGGGATTTTTCATCTGTGTTACATAACTAACTGCTTAAATCTTCAGAGTATTGATTATATTTCTGCATGAAGTTTAAAGAAAAGCGATGGAGATAGTGAGTGCATTGTATACACTGTGCTGAGAAAAGATGTACCCCATTTTCTATGAAGTGTGCTTTTAAAAAAGTCAACATTACAGGGTATGTAATTTTAATAATATAGAGACCCAAGAGAGGGGTCTTTATACTATAAAGATCCAATTTGGTTTTAAGCATTTTTAGTTAACTTGTAAAGGAAAAAAGGAGGAGGTGATTACTTTCAGGAGTAATGCGGTGGCAGTGTGAAAGTATCCGTGTTTCCACTATTGAAGAACACTCAGATGTGAGCAGTCTCAACGAACATTTTCCTACCCAGGGTTCTGGAGAAGAGGGAATCCCGATAGTGCCCATCTAAACAGTATGCTTTGTACTACTTTGATTCCTTACGATCCCTATCTTCATTGACAGATGAAATGTCTTCTGGGTTGAGTCGTCTGAAAAACCTAGCTCTTGGTCTGCAGACAGAAATAGATGAGCAAGATGATATGCTGGATCGGCTAACAAAAAAAGTAGAGACACTGGACGTCAATATTAAAAGCACTGACAAAAAAGTCCGACAGCTTTAAAAGATTTTGGGCAACTTTTTTGTCCAGCGTCAGTACTTCTTTGGATGTCTTAACCAATCTTAAAAAAATCTTGGACAAGATCTGTTTCTTTTCTTTCTGATACGTTATTGATTTTGTTGTCATTAAAATTGCATAATCTTAAGTGCAGCATAATACCTTAAGTTTCTTCTGAATGTACATGGGAAAAGTCTGTGTTGAGTGAAATCTCTCAGCAGTTGGTAAAAGCTTTTGTGCTGGAGACCGTGCTCAGCTGTGTAACTGTGCGTCACGCGCGTGGAGGAATTTGCCATCGACAAAGCTTCAGTGTCCAGGGCCTGGGAGCTGTGATGAGAAAAGTAACTACGTTTTGCCTCTGTTTTGGGGAGGGGGCAGGAAACAGAATGTGCTGCTTTGTTCAGAACAAGTGTTGCTAATTCTGTTTACCTACAGCTATTTTAAATTCTGAAAAAATGCCGATTTCCAGCTGTAAAAATAACTCAAAGTGACTGTCCTCTGGTGTTTCTGGGGCTTAAGGAACGCACTGTTCAGTGGGAGTTAAAAATATCAAGTGTCATGCAGTAATGATAATATCCTGTGCATGTTCCCTTTCCTAAGATGACTTTTGCCAAATGGTGGACCCACAAACTGTGGTTTTTATGTTTGGGTCACTAAATGTTATCACCTTTACAGTATTTTCAGTAAAGATCTCTGATGGTATCTTATGGTCTGCAAGAAATGTTGGTTGACAGTGACCCAAAAAGTTTGGGTAACAAAATCAGGACTTAAATGTATGTTTTCCTAAAGATTGTTTTGTAGAAATTGACACTGTTTTTTACTTTCTGTTCTTTCTCAGCCTATTCAGTTAGGTGGTTATTTGAAAAATAGCTTCCATTTTAGAAATGGAGAGTTGGTCTGATATTGCACAGATCATAGGAGATTGTTCTTCAACATTTATTTCAAATGTGATTAGAGCTTGAGCAAATGCTGTGTTTTCCTAGGTAAGGTGACTGTTTTTAAGAAGTGCATCTACGATTCACACTTCTGCGTTGGCTTAGCAGGTATGAAAAGTTCCTGCAAATGAAGAAAAGCTCAAAAATGTTTTTGAGTCTTCCATGTACAAGTTGGGCCTTCCGATTTGTTTTATTCTTTTGTAAATAGCACTGTAGAACAAAATACTTGCAGTTCTGCTCCAGCCTGAAGACATGACAAAGAGAACTTGCTGTCTGTGTTGAGAACAAATAAGTGATTTTGGTTTGGAGAGGCCAAGGGACCTGTCAGTCTTGCAGCGCTCCCTGTCACAAATGACAATGAGTGGCAAAGAAGAGACAGTTACTTTCCTGAGCTGGTGCCACATTATCTCATGAATTGAAGGAAGACCTTGGTGTTTAGGGCTATCAAGCTTATATCCTTCATGAACATCGCATTCCCACTCTCCTCTTTCCTTTTTTAGGGGTTTGTTACCTTGAGCTCACTTGCTACAAAGTGCACCCAATTGTTAAAGTTAATTGTTAAAAACTTGAGCCTTTCTTCTTTTACTGTGTCTCCTGAAAGTTCAGTTGTAGAAAAATGCATCACTAAAAAAGCTACACTTCTTGGGTATAGTATACGGAAAAAACAATTATTGCTGGGATTACTAGCAAAGTAGCGTTGTGAATTAGATTTAAGGTGAGCCTGTTTCACCTTGTGTTACTGATGTCATTGATTTCAGTCCCTGAAAATGGTGCAATTTGCAGGGACATAAAACTTCAAGAGCTACTGAGTACCTTTAATTGCTTTTTAATTTTCACTTTGTTGTTTATGCTCACTTGGAAACTTGAAAAACCTTATTAATAGCAATGTATCATCTAACTTTTTGGGTGTACACCATGATTAATTCTTTCTCACTCTTTTAGAATATTATCAATTATATGATTTAATGTCTCAAGAGAGTTCATATATTTATTCAGTAAATGATAGCAATCATTACTTTTCAAAATGTTAAGTACCTCAGTGAAGGAAATTTTGATTATACCTGTTTAGTTTATTTGACTTTCTTCTTTGAATAAAAAGGGTGAAAAGAATTGTACTTTTTTGTATCCCAGTATTAGTTAACAGACACATTTGCATCTTGGAAAGGATTTATAAATTTTCTCTAGAGAAGAGAATACTAAAAGAACTGCACTGTAATTAATAACACTCCTTTTAGTGTGAAATCTGCCTTCACCTGTATACAACTACTTCACAGCTATGTTTTTCCAAAGTAAGACTTTGATAACTAGGATGTAGGCTGACCTTTTCCACTAAGTTACGGTTAACAGAGGGAAAATGTAGCTGGAGGAGATATATATATAAATAGATAGATATATATATATGTAATAAAAAATGTGGAGCTGGAATCCAAGCAAAAATTTTGGTTGGTTTAAGAGTGAAGTGTATTGCCTTTCTGATCTAAGCTATTCCATTTTTTCAGCCTAAATTATTTTATAAAACGAACTCAAGTTTTTGGTCAACTGTTTGGTTGTATTAGCCTTACAAAATGTTTACTGCATCCTGGATGTATTTCATGCCTTTAAAAACAAAGGCAGTGGAGCTGGAATCCAAGCAAAAATTTTGGTTGGTTTAAGAGTGAAGTGTATTGCCTTTCTGATCTAAGCTATTCCATTTTTTCAGCCTAAATTATTTTATAAAACGAACTCAAGTTTTTGGTCAACTGTTTGGTTGTATTAGCCTTACAAAATGTTTACTGCATCCTGGATGTATTTCATGCCTTTAAAAACAAAGGCAGGGAAGGGGAATAAAAAAATACATCTCTTTCTGCTTTGAGAACCTTGTGATCCAAGCAGACTAGAAACCTAGAAGTTACACAGAGGTCTAAATTCTCATCTCTTCTAAAAGCCTCTTTCAGAGTCTCAGTAATGTATGTCTTTGCTTAGGCTTTCCTCCTCTATTTATTGTTTTGATTTTTTAATGACCTTGTTTTAAAGGGTTATTTCCCACAGAGGATTTCTTTTGTGGGGAAAAAAGATTGCACAAGGTATAAATTAATTTCTGCTACAAACCGAATTCCTTTTCTCAGCTTTCGTACAAGATGCTTTATGCCAATAAAGAACTTAAGTTTAACTGACATAAGGAGACAACACTGTTTCGTAGTGGTGATGAGTAGTATTTTTTCTGCTCGTTAGAATAACTTTCTATCCTGCAGAAAGGGGAAATTTAAAGGAAGAAAATCACATGATTTTTGCCTTTCCAGGAAATGTCATTTTGCATGTGCTATGAAGGACTTACTTCAGTAGCTTTTCTTACTATTTCCTGATATAGCTTTATTTCTTCTTAGATACTATTGAAAAACGTACTTCGTGTAGGGCATAGGACTTTCAGAAGAAATTAAATTTACACTCAGGTGTTAGCTTGGTAAGTTAAACAATTTTGCCTAAATACTCATGTTGTCATAAGAATGGATGTCCTTGTAGCAAAATAGCTTTGGTTAATTTTATTCTTGCTGGCTTGAGTAGAAGTTTAATATTAATGTAAGAAGAAGAGTACAAAAAAAAATTTAAGACTTCCTTATAAAAGGAGGTTTTGTTGCTTCTCAAAAAGTGTGCTAATACATTTTTGAAGAGGTGTTAGACACCAGGAAGTAGCAGACCCTTCCTAACATAGATATAAGAAGACATATTCTAAAAACAGCAAGAAAAAAAAAAAGTGGGAATAACTAGTATCTGACTACTAGATTCCTAAGCGTATTTGATTTTTAAATTTCCTGAGAATTGAATTAAAAATTGTAACAAATGATGCGTAGCTGAATTTTAGTCTATACTACAAAGATTTATTGCTGTGCTGAACTCTGTTGGCCTACTGAGATCGTTGGGACACTGTATGGTGTTGGGGGTTTATGTGTGAAATCTCTCTGAAATGTTTTGCTGCCTAGTGGTCTCTGTGATGTCATTTGTTAAATGGTGAAAGAGAAAATACTTTCCAACCACTCTGCCTTCTGAACAAGCTGATTTTTGTAGGCATTTTTACAAGCGTAACATCATATGGAGATGTGTTAATTTCGACTTTGAAATATATGGGGCTTAATTTTCAAAATCACAGGTGGTGATTATTTGTGTCTATGCCTTTTTTTAATAGTACTTTAATTCTGTGCCACCCGGGTATAACATTTTTTATATAAGTCAAATTGAAATGTCTTTTAGTTAAATGCTAAACTGGACCGTAGTTCAGCAATTTAGGAGATTAAATGAAATAAGTGTTGAATGGTATGACGGCCAATAAAGGTGCTTATGGTTAATGGAGAGGTTTTGTGTTTATTTCCCATAATTCTTTGATTACAATTTCATTGACACTTCTTTCCCACAGTAAGAACTGTTTAAATGCTGGATGTAGTCTGTTAAGTTTGTGCCAGAACAGAAGTAATTTTGCAGCTGGTGAGGTTTGTTTTCCGGGAATAAAAAGAGGGTACTACATTTCTACTTGAGTATATTCTTTTTGATCCTGAAAGAGGAATGCAAATAGGCATTTATTTTTGCAAAACTTTAACTTGTAGTGATAAAATAATTCAAGTTGTTACTTGAAAAGTTATCTTGCCATAGTGCTTGGTATTATCAGGAATATCACAAATGATGTATGCATGAATGAGTTGGGCAGAACAGGAGTAAGCCAAAAAAAAACCATCTGGAAAACTTCAGGTACGTAATATTGTTGTGTGGTCCCAAATTTGGTGATGGCAGAAAACTTCAGAATCTCCTGACCTTCAATTAGGTTCTTGTCTGTATATGAAGGGAAGAACTTGGCTTCTGACAATTTTTTTTGTTGTAATTAATCTTGTTTGATACCGTAAAGCAGAGATTCAGAACTGCTATTACAAAAGCTCTGAAAAGGGAAAGTCAATATGCCAGAGAGGTTGACAGGATTTTAAAATTCAGATAACTTTGTTTTACTGCCTTTGTGCTAAGAGCTCCTCAACAAATGGGAACTGAGAGCTCTTCCCTCTTTGCACCTTATTGTTGCATATGGAAAAAGCGAAATAATGCAAAGAGGCT